AAGTTAGCTCAATTCGAACAAGAATATCTAACTCCCAAAGAAGCTTATACTGTTACTCCTGCAACCTCAATAAATGAAAACCCTTGGACTACCCAAACCTCCAGATCCAGATATCGAACTCCCCAAGTATCATTTAGTAGAACTTGCTAAGAATACAACTCTACTAGTCATCTTTTCACTGATTGCTCTCATAACCAATATCACTATTGTTATCAGTATGGTCATATCTCTGCTTACTGCTCTCACCAAGCTTCAAAGAGAGATATTTGTAAAACCTGCTCTCAATCTAGACATCTTTATAGAAACTGTCCTCAAAATAGATGTCATTAATGTAATCAATATGGTTATTTCAGAATTGATTACCCTCTTGCTGTTTACAAGCTAGATAACCAAAAATATAGATATGGATATTCACTAGATGAAGTGAATAACCAATAGCAAACCTACTACTCACAAAGAAGAACTCACAATTGCTGTTAATGCAAAGTGCCTTAAAGACCTGAAGAACTTAGATTGCTTGACCAGAATCTAGTCTGTAGAGCATGCTAGACTGACTTTTACTATGAATTAGACCAAAATGACCCTCAAAGCATAGAATACTTCACCAATAGTGATAGTTAAGGAATGTTGATCAAATTTGAGTTTGTAGTGAAGAATTTATTAGATCCAGAATGTATAAACTAGACACAGTTGAGGAAGATACCTGGTTTTGTGACTTGGAGCATTTATATACTTACAAAGCTAGTAGAGGGAGCTTCAATCTTCAGACCAAGTTCCTTGACAACTTGATGTGAGATCATACTAATTGCAGCGCCACTATCAATGACAGCATGATAGAGTCTGTTTCTAAGTTTAATGTTGTATTTAACAGGAGTAGTATAAGTTGGTGTCTGTGTCTGGTTAGGGGTGCTAGATTCTTCATTAAGATAACTAGCTAACGCTGTTCTAATAGATTCATTAACTAAGAAAGTTTCGAATTGTTCATAGGTATAGTCATTAGCAGTATCTGCAGTATATACATTTTGTGGATATGGGGTAGAGGATCGGCTTCAAGACCTGTTATTTCGGTCATAAGAGGAGCGATTGTTAGAGCGATATCTATCACGAGATTGGCTTCTACTTCTGGATCTATTGCGGTGGTCATAGTCTCGATTTCTGGATCTGTCCCGATTGTGAGATCGAGATCTATCATAGGATCGATTATTTTGAGAAGAATATCTATAGTCTCGACTAGAGGATCGATAATTTTGAGAGTTCCTTCGGCTATCCTCTCTTTTGATTCTGCAATCTCTAATAAAATGTCCTCTGTTACTACAGTAATAACAAGTGGCATCTCAGGAGTTGTTGTTGTTGCTGTTGTCACGTCGAGAGGAGTTATTATTATTGTTGTTGTTAGTTTCGGAGTAATAGACAGGAGTAGTAGGTTGTTAGGCAGCTAAGTTAATATTAAGCTTAGCAAGTTGTTCAGTAAGTCGTTCTATGACTTAGGCATTGCCATCATCATTGGTATTATTTTCAGCAGCTATGACCCATTCTGTTTTCCATTTTCGTGCTTCTGTTATAGCAGCATCTAAGTTAGCAGATTCTGTGACTTGTACATTAATAGCATACTCAGGGCATAGTCCTTGAATGAAAAATTAGATTAACAGGGCTGTAGGGAGACGATGATTAAGGTCTTCTACTCGATGATATAATCATTTAAATCGAATAACATAAGTGTCGACTGTGTCTGTTTCTTGTTTAATTTCAAAAAGCTGTTTTTGCCAAGCTGCTTTTTGTCTAGGGGTACTGAATTTTTCTTTAAATACATAAGTAAAACTCACAATATCAGTTCCCTGAACATTGGTTCCATGTCGTGCATCATGGTAGCGATTAGGGCATCAGCAAGGCTAGTGAACCATTCTTGAGCATTTTCCTTTATATATGCAGCAGCTAATTCCAACTGTCGAGTGGCACTCCAGTGGTTAGCTTTAGCAGCACGGTCAAATTCTTTTATCCATGTGATAGGGTCTTGGGTTCCATCACTTTGATAGAAATCTATTTTGATAAGAGACTTTACACCACCACATCCGAGGGCAGCAGCTATAGCAGCCATAGCTTTAGCAGCCTGGGTAAGAGCTTGGTTAGTTTGTTGTGTCATATTATCGTTAGGTTCTTCGCCGTCAGTTACAGTAGAGTTAGTTTCAGCGTCAGATACTTGTTCATCTATTTCTTCTTCAGGTGGTTCTGTATTATGATTATGAACTTGGTTATTATCTGGGTCTTCTAATAGAAGGGCAGTAGGAAGTTGAGTTCAAGGTGGAGAAGGAGTGTTTAAAGGAGTTTGTGCTAGGATTTAAGTTAGTTCCTGGGTAGGTTCTGGGTGCAATAGGAGTATTAGTAAGAAGAAAGTTAGTAGTAGGTATAATATAGTTAAATAATTGGGTGAATCGGTTAACAGGTTGGGTTCGAGGGAGGTTAACTTCAGGAGGGGATGTAGTGTGTAAAGGAATATCAGTATAAAGAGAATCAGAGGTATTGGGTCTAGGTGAAAATGGAATTGGAGTTGAATTTTTGTCATAGGAAGATAAAGAAAATGTTGAGGTAGTTATATCAGAGAAATTGTCTAAGTCACCTGGTTGTAAGATAGGGCTTCGTCCAGGTAAATCACTAGGGTATATATAAGTAGCTTCACTTCGAAATGTAGAGGGTACAGGTGAACTAGAGTCTTCTATTTCTTGGTCAGGATCAGTGGTTTGATAGACACTAGGTGTATACTCAGGATCTTCGATATAGAGATCAAAAACGTTGGAGACAAATTCTAGAGGCAAGTAGGAAGCAAGCCGATATCTAGTTTAATTAGTTAAAAGTGTAGTTGCTACTCGGTGAGGACTTTCAAGAGTGAGTCAATATCTGCAACTAAAGATAAGATTTCTGACTGAAAGTCTAGCTAAAGGGTAGTCAGGGTCTGTAGTTAGGTCAAGATGAGCTGTGATTGTTATTTGGGTGTAAGAGGTGGAGCAAATTGTCATTGGTACCAATACCAAAAACTACAAAAAGTGCGATAATAAGTGCGGTCAGAAAAACAGTTTTGACACGAATCGTCAGGTGAAAGTACTTGGAGGGTATCGTTAGAAAGACCAGTGTTCTCGTGGTCAGTTTCGTGGTTTCTAATTTGTTCTAGATGTAACTCATATGCTTGATGCATATAATGCCATAAGCAGACTTTTGGTTGTAATATTTAATTAAAATATTCTGGTTGTTGTGATAATCTTGGGTGGAATTACTTACGCCTACACTTTGGCTTGTGGGTAATTCGCACTTAATCTTCCTTAATTAAGGTTCGCAGTAAGCTGCTAGCTATCTCTTGGGTGCTACAAAAGCAGAGGCTTCAAGTGTGCCCTTCTGAGCAAATCTCTTTCAATTTGTCAGAACTTCCTAGGTTGCTACGAAAGCAGAGGCTTCAAGTGTGCCCTTCTGAGCAAATATTTTTCAATTTGTCAGGATTTCCAAAAATAAACTATTACTGCTTTAGTAATAGCTGGGGTCGTAAATAAATATCTTCTCGGAGAGTAAATCCGGCAGGGTTTCCTTTAGAGTATAAAACTTTAACCACAAATAGAAAAGTCAAACGTTCAAGGTGTTGGTACTATGCTAATAAGGTTTGTAACTTAGAAAGGAAATGTAAAGGAGCTTTCTACGAATTTAAAGGATGTAAGATCATCCAAATCGGTTGGGTAGGTGGCGAGATATTAAGAGTCAAAGTTTATGTAAAAATGTTTGTAGAGACAAAGTTTATAGTAAGGAAAAGGGAGTAAAGACTTTGATAATTTTTAGAGCGATGGGGAAGCGTTTTGGTATTAAGTAACCTATATACCAAAAGATAGAGGATGTTTTAAAATGTAAAGAAGATGAAATTTTTAAAATAGGGTCGATATTCGTAGAGTTATTAAAGAAAAACTAAAGCTAATAGGGATTTTTAGAGCAAGAATTTTTCCTTTCCGCCAGGAGGCACCAAATTGTTACAAGTGGACTGTAGCCTTCTTAATACAGCACAAGTAACAAAGCACACAGCTATAGAGCTCCGTTGCGAGATTATAGCGGTGTGGAAGTGGAATGTTACTTCACTAAGGGCAGTTCGTGGAAAGTATATAGTTAAAGAAAGATATATTTTATTTACGGTATATAAGACTTTAATTACAAGAAAGTATCCTATAACCAAAGAGGGTTTCTGTATCTACTTGAGTCTATCTAAAGATGATTCGAACTAACTGGCAGGAAGGTAGAAAAGCCAGGGTTTATATATCTTTTCCAAACTATCTAAAACTAATAGAAATAATAAGAAACGGTAGAAACGGTAGAAACGGTAAAAACGGTAAAAATAGTAGAAACGGTAAAAATGGTAAGAACGGTAAGAACAGTAGAAACGGTTACCATTCTATCAGTTTCTAATGCTATGCGCAACTAACCAATAATATTTAAGGTTACTCGATATATAATAATAGAATACAAGATAATAATATAATAATATAATAATACTAATAATATAACTAATAATAACTAATAATAAAACTAATACTACAACTCATTCTATAACAATATATTTCAAAATTTTCTAAGCTTAATGCATAAGCTTCAAAAACATCTAAAAATCGACAACTTTATAACATATTCAGTTTGTCCGAATTGTGACAAATTATATTGAAGAGGAGGTTGTTAATTCCCAGAATAATAAAGAACAATTATCAATAAAAAAATGTAGCTATGTTGAATTTCCAAATATAATTGAATCTAGGCAGATAGTTACATGTAGTTCAGCATTAACAACACAAAATCAGTATCTAAAAAATACTCTTAATAAACTGATTTTGCTTTATTCTTTTGCAAGTATCAAAAGTTAACTTGCAAAAATGTATATGCGTCCAAATTTTGAACAATTATGTCAGAAATAGACCCATCGTAGTGTTTCTGAAGGGATTCTTTCTGATATTTATGATGGTAAATTTGGAAAAATTTTGAAGATAAAGAATCAATCGGTGGCCGATTTTTTATACAAGAATTAGCAGATACACATCTCAGCTTTATATTAAATTTAGATTGGTTTCAGCCATTTGATGGCACTCAATATAGTACTGGTGTAATCTATATGGCTATTTCTAATCTACCAAGAGAACTTCGATTTAAAGCAGAAAACATAATGATTCTTGATATTTTACCAGGTCCAAAAGAAGTTCATTTGCATCGTATCAACCACTATCTTGTGCTGATTGTTGATGAACTATACCGATTTTGAGATGGTGTTCAAATTTCAACTTATGAGAACCTATCTGAAAAGATAATCTGGGCAGCATTAATTTTATATTCATGTGATATACCTGCAGCTCAGAAACTTTGTGGCTATATCTCAGCATTAGTATCTTGCTATCAGTGTGAAAAAAAAGCACAATATGAAGATAGACATCACCATTTTGGAGGTATAGATGATATGAGAGCCGGCAAATAGAAACACAGCTTATGACTTTTTTTGCAAAAATGTTTTAACTACACTATAATATAATACAAACATTCTACTATATAATTTGATATTTAAAATATTGATTTACATAATAAATTATTTGCCGATACTTATTTTTTTAAATATCACGTACTTTTTACAAGCTATCTAAAAATAGATTTTTAAAAAATAATCTGTTATAAATACAGGTTATAACAGGTTATGATGATAGATTATAGATAAACATTAATTTATAGTACGTACATACGTATGTATATAACAAATACTTTACTATTTAATATCTAACACTTAATTTTTCTGAAAATTTGGTGTTCTAAAGTTTTTTCGCGTGTTTTATCAATTTTTTTTTAAATCGAATAACTTTTTTGCTTGAAGTTTTTTAGGAATCTCTTCAACATTTTGGAGCTGTTCTCTGGTAGTTTTCTGGTAATTCTATCAGAGAGAGGCTTCACAACATCGAAGAGCTCTCTTCGGAATTTCGTATTGTTCTCTGGTAGTTCTCTTCGACGTCTCGGAGTGTTCTCCGGTAGTTCCTTTTAAACGTTTTAAAGCTGTTCTCTGGTAGGTTTCCTAGGCTGTTCTTTTTAGCATTTTGAAGCTGTTCTCTATTAGTTTTCTACTAAGAAACCTACTCTGATTCATCTTTAGCTTCTAATAAATTTCCATTAGTTTCTTCATCGGGCTTGGATCTGTTCTCTGATATTTGTCTTTGCCGGGTTTGGAGTTGTTTTCTAGTAATTTTCTTCGCGGGTATGGAGCTGTTCTCTGGTAGGTTTTTTAGAAATTTTTGAGCTGTTTTCTGGTAATTTTATTTACCGGGTTTGGAGCTGTTATATGGTAGTTTTCTAGTAAGAAACCTACTCTAATTCGGTTTCAGCTTCTAGTTTCTTCGCCGGGTTTGGAGATTTTCTCTTTTAATTTTCTTCGCTAAGTGTAGAGCTTTTCTTTCGTAATTTTCTTCGCTGGATTTGGAGCTGTTCTCTGGTAGGTTTCTTGGAAATTTTGAAGCTGTTTTCTAGTAATTTCTTTATTGGGTTTGAAGCTATTCTCTAGTAGTTTTCTACCAAGAAGCCTACTCTAATTCAGTTTAGTTTCTAGTTTCTTCGCCTGGTTTGGAGTTTTCTCTAGCAATTTCTTCGCCGGATTTGGAGCTGTTCTCTGGTAGGTTTCTTAGAAATTTTGGAGTTGTTCTCTGATAATTTCTTCGCCGGGTTTGGAGCTGTTCTCTGGTAATTTCTCCTAAGAAACTTACTCTAATTCATTTTAGCTTCTAATAAATTTATATTAGTTTCTTCGCTAGGTTTGTAGTAATTTTCTTTGCCAGATTTGGAGCTGTTCTTTGGTAATTTTTTTCGCTGATTTGGAGCTGTTCTCTGGTAGGTTTCTTAGAAATTTTGGAGTTGTTCTCTGATAATTTCTTTGCCGGGTTAGGAGCTGTTCTCTGGTAATTTCTCCTAAGAAACTTACTCTAATTCATCTTAGCTTCTAATAAATTTATATTAGTTTCTTCGCTAGGTTTATAGTAATTTCTTCGCCAGATTTGGAGCTGTTCTCTGGTAATTTTTTTCGCCGATTTGGAGCTGTTCTCTAGTAATTTCTTCGCTGGCTTTGGAGCTGTTCTCTGATAGGGTTTTACTAAGAAGCTTAATCTAATTTATTTTAGCTTCTAATAAAATTCTATTAGTTTCTTCACCAGGTTTGGAACTGTTATTATAATTTTCTTCGCCGGACTTTGAGCTGTTCTCTAGTAATTTTTTTTGCCTGGTTTAGAGCTTTCTCTAGTAATTTTTTCGCCAGGTCTGGAGCTATTCCCTGATAGGTTTCTTAGAAATTTTGAATCTGTTATCTGATAATTTTTTTCGCTGTGTTTGGAGCTATTCTTTGGTAGTTTTCTACCAAGAAACCTACTCTAATTCAGTTTAGTTTCTAGTTTTTCACCGGGTTTTGAGCTGTTTGATAATTTTCTTTGCCAGGTTTGGAGCTTTCTCTAGCAATTTCTTCACCGGATTTGGATCTGTTCTCTGGTAGGTTTCTTAGAAATTTTAGAGTTGTTCTCTGATAATTTTCTTCGCCGAGTTTTGAGCTATTCTCTTGTAATTTCTCCTAAGAAACCTACTCTAATTTATCTCAGCTTCTAATAAATTTCTATTAGTTTCTTCGCTGGATTTGTAGTAATTTTCTTCGCCAGATTTGGAACTTTTTTTTGAAATTTTTTTTCGCCAGATTTGAAGCTGTTTTCTGATAATTTCTTCGTCGGATTTGGAGCTATTCTCTGGTAATTTCTTTCCCGGATTTGGAGCTGTTCTCTGGTAGGGTTCTACTAAGAAGCCTAATCTAATTTATTTCAGCTTCTAATAAATTTCTATTGGCTTACTAGGTTTAGAACTTTCTCTGATAATTTTCTTCGTCGGTTTGGAGCTGTTTCCTGGTAGGTTTCTTAAAAATTTTAGAGCTGTTCACTGGTAATTTTTTTCACTGGGTTTAGAGTTATTCTCTGTTAGTTTTCTACCAAGAAGTCTACTCTAATTTATTTCATCATCTTATAAATTTCTATTAGTTTCTTCACCAGATTTGGAGCTGTTCTCTGATAATTTTCTTCACTGGACTTTGAGCTGTTTTTCCAGAAATTTTTTCACTAGGTTTGGAGTTTTTTCTGGTAATTTTTCACCAGAATTGGAGCTGTTCTCTGTTAATTTTCTTTGGTGAGTTTGGAGTTGTTTTCTGGAAATTTTTTTTTGGAAGCTTGGAGTTGTGATTTGATAATTTTCTTTGATGAGTTTTTTTGGTAATTGTTTTCTATAGGTCTGAAGCTTCTCTTTGGTAATTTCTTTAGT